TATGATGAAAATAAATATCTATTACAATATCGATTGATGTCTTTCGGTTTTCCGATACCATGGCGCGGTCTAGATAGAAAACACATTCAGCGGATTTTGTGAAAATGACTGTTCTCTTGTTTCAAACGCGCGCGCGAAAAGAAGTACAAGATACATGAAGAAGCTTTGGCATAGCTTCAAATATAGAACATCTGAGATTTCTCATCTTTTCTTTTCATAACGTTTGTGAGAACAGTATGAAATGATTTCTCTAATTTAAAAAGTGTCTGACAGCATCTAAGAATTTTTATGTTTTACGGAAATTTTATTTTTGTTTAATTCCAAGTAAATGTTTTTTTTAAAACTGTAAAGGAGTATTAATTAACAAATACTTGAAATTAAATTTTTTTAATCACAAGAACAAATGATCTGAACAAAATAATGCTGCGATATTTCCCTTCTTATTTTAACATCATTGCGGCAGTTTCTTATTTTTCTTTTATCTTCCCTCATTTTCTCTTTTTCTTTTTTTAACATATAATTTTTATTTAATTTTGTTAATTTGTTTTGTAACAAATAAAAATTTTTATAATAGAAAATGTTAAAGAAAGAAAACTATGTTTAGTAGAAATCTTTTAAGAACAGTAGAAAATGTAGAACTTATTTACGATCATATCTAAAATAAGAAGAATATTCTATTTTTATTTTTAAGTAATAAATTTTTGAGAAATAGCAACTAGATTTGTTATAGTTTCCTTTAGTTTGTACGATATTTATATCCTTGTCATCACATATTCACTATAATTCTTGAGTGAGAAATATATCTCAAAATTGCTACTATTATGCAATATTTCCTCAATCTGTAAATCTTCGCAAATCATTATGTTATTGATATAACTCCAGGAAACGTATTGAACGCGTCTAGATCGTTCACCTCGTGTCGGTTTCACTGATATTGACTTCTCTTGTCGAGATATGACTTGACTAGTCGGGTCAGATTTGTTTGAATTTTTCATTTGTTTCCTGTTGCTGATTTCACTTGATTTCATAAAAGAAGAGTCATGCAATATCCGGAGATTTTAATAGAACATCAATTTTTTTTATTCATACGAAATCCAATAAAAATTGGATATTACTGCTTCGATATTATATTGGATTATACGTTTAATCGGAATAAAAAGCAACTACGGATTTATAAATCACGTCATTTAGTTTATTTTTCTTCAATTTGCTCCAATTCTGTTGTGTTCGACTGTTTTGAGTGTTTCGAATTTTACGATATCTCGATAAATCTTTTTGTAAGAGTATATAGCGTTCGAACTTCACTTCCAATTAAATATCTCGATAGCGCGTTCCACATATCGATAGCTCAGCTGTAGTTTGATCGCATCTCTAATTGAATTACTCGAGATTTACGGGGAAGAGTTCATCATGCATACAAGATTGACATTTTCGGTTCATATATGAAAATGTAAAATTAATAAAGGTAGAAATATGTGAGAAATAAAATATAAGGAATAAAATTATATTTAGGGATAATAACGTATAATAAAATTAAACCAATCACATTTGGTTAGCGTTGACGTACGTGACGTTAAAGTAAAATTTTCAGTAAATCAATATCTCTAAAGTAATTATACCAAACAAAACTATTAGACTAGTTTTATTTTTTCATTTTTAATATGCACAAATCGCGCGATAATAAAAATAATTCATCGTCGCGAAAAACAACACGACTCGCGCTTGGCGCTTTTCTAATTTCTGTATGCCGCTGCATCTCTTCGCGGCAAAATTTACTGTAACCGCAATTTTTTCACCATCCGTAGATTTTCGTGGCGAAAAAAGAAACGGCTCTCCACCAGGAACCACTTGGAGAGCGCAGCTATATAAATTACACCCCAACACACGTTACAGGATTGCATAAATTTAGCATTACACGCGTAACATGATGGTCGTTGCAGATATCTGCGTTGACTTTGATTTTCGTAATGACCCAGCAAACTAAATGTGCACAGATAAATTTGTAACTCGTATTGACGTAGATATATTTAAATCTGATTTGTAACGAAAATGACGTTATCTATATTATCGGATTTGCAAAAGTTGATCATAATAAAAGAAAATCGACATTATTAATAAATTGTGATATTGAGAATTATAATAACAATTATACTGGTCGACAATTATTTTATTAAATGGGTAACTGATTCTTTGATATTTTTTATGCTGGTTCTAAAAATGAGGTTAAAATTCACTCTACGAGCTCCAATTTATTGTAACCGATATACCTCTTTTTAAAAATTTATACATTTTAAACGACGGCACATCGTGCAAGTCTTTTTCTGAATTAAAATTATTTATTTTGGAAACCTTTTATAAGGAGAAAATTATGTTAAACTCAATAGCTATTCTCTATAAACCATTTATGTATATCTAGACAGAGGAAATAAATTGAATTTTTTAATGCACATTCGAAAAATTCTGCCCTCATAAATTTGGCAAATAGACTTGAAATTAGCGCAAAAAATACTATAAGAAACACTCAGTTTTAATATAAGAGTAAAATTTTTTTATTAACCTATGTTATTTATTAAATATAAATTTTATAAAGATATACGCTTTATTTTTTGTTTTTAGAAACTAACACATTTTATAATTATTTTTATAAGATAATATTTTTTTTGTATCTTTTAAAACTCAGTTTAATTTTTGGGGTTCAAAATTCAACTATATACATATAATTTTTTTTATGCAAATTCTGGTAACAAAATCGATAGTAAGCGTGGCACTACCCCTTTTTAAACTTTTATCCTTATAATTCTTTTTTGAAGCGTAATTCTAGTATGGCATGTAGCCAACATCCTAAGTTCTATCGTAAGAAACAAGTTTTGTCAGAACCAATTCAACCATTTTCGCATGAATAAAGTGCACAAACAATTCTTGCGAATAGTATAATAATTATAATTTTAATCAGAAATTAGCGAAGATTGATTCGAGACTGTTAAATCACAATATTCTCTGCCTTGATTTAATTTCATTTTTTAAATTAATTAAAATTTTATTTTTCTTAAAACTAAAAATTTGATATTAAGAGATAATAATAAAAAAAATATTAATTTACATAAATAATTAATCTTTACAACGTTAAAATCACGAATTCATCTAACAAAGCGGTATAATTTGCCGTAATTGTTCATTTATCGAATTTAAATTGTATAAGGAACGTTTCTTATCTATTTTCCAACTGAAATCACCAATTGAAGTATATGGATTATTAAATCAAATGATCGTGAAGTGACAGCGTGCTATGTCAATATTCATTAATTATATTGCAAGAAGATAGAATAGTCAGTATAATTTAAATATTTCGTGCGACGAGACTGGAGCCTTACTTGTATGCCTACGACTTCTGCGTTTATTTTTTTGCGGCGTCCGGCATGCCGTTTTGCACACAGGTTAGTGTGTTGCCATTCGTGCGGTGCAGATCGTTTCGTTTGTCTATTTATTATTTCTTGAAACGCTATCATTCTTGTAATTAGCAACCAATCCGTATAATTAACCTTTTTGTCAGCTAAGTTGGATTTTGAAAACAATATTTCGGTATTTTTATTGTGAATTTTGATGAGATAAATTTAATTCTGTAAAAAATAAATAAAATACAAACTTTTATGACAGTAAAAACTCGTTGTTAAAGTTTTCACGAGTATGCAAGAATTTTTTCTGATTTTTATACACTCTAAAACAATATAAAAATCTGCACTGAAGCTCAAAGATCCAAGTTGTTGACGCAAGGTGTAAAATTTCACATGGCTAATAGAGAGTTAATTAATTTTTACGATATATGCATAGTGCTTAGATCCGTTAATTTATTAAACTCTTTGACGTTTGAGATTCAGTGTGCTAATTTAGGACATTTCACGAATATCGAACTTTAAGCGAGTGTATTTTTTTACATCTTTACTCACGTTAAACTAAACTATTCGCTCGTTGTACACTGATGACTACGTGTTAGGTATTAGGTGTCTTCACAAATGAGTGCCTACGAGTGTTATGGAAGAAGCAATACAAAAGAACAAGAAAAAATCCAAGAAAGCATCAAGCCACGGCGAACAATGTTATGAATCATTTATTTATAGTATGCACATAACAATTATTTTTTTAAATATTAATTATTTTAATTTATAATTTTGATATACTACAATTCTATTACTACATTTCATACTCAATATCAACTCAGTATACCCGTGTGAAGCTGGCCCCCAATATTAAAAAATCGAATATTTTCTTTTTTTGCATTCGTTTGCTCATCGTTTGCTCACAAATGCTTCGTCGGAATTTTCGTTCGCTTGCAGTCTTAGTTCAAAAGTTATACGAAATTTAAATTATTAAAAAATTCAATTTTTTTGCATATATAGTAAAAATACAAACAAGAGTTTCAAAATTATTTAAAAAAAAAAAATAAATATTTCAGATTTCTAATACTTTTTTCAGTAGTAAATAACTTTTGAACTAAGGGTGAACACACACACAAAAGAAAATTCCGACGGGACATCCGTGAGCAAATAATGAGCAAACGAATGCAAAAAAAATATTCGATTTTTTAATATTGGGGGGGCGCTAGCGTGAAGTTAGCCCCCCAAAATTTAAATTTCGTATAACTTTTGAACTAAGGGCGAGCAAATGAAAATTCCAACGGAGCATTTGTGAGCAAACGATGAGCAAAGGAATGCAAAAAGAAAATATTCGATTTTTTATTATTGGGGGGCCAGCTTCACACAGGTACCTACTCAGTATCAAATTACTTATTTTAATACGAGGTAATGGATCGGTAAAAATTATGTCAAATATGTGCAAGATGCATTTTTATATTAGATCTTAAATAAATATCAAAAATATTACAGAAAAAATTATACATAGATACAAAATCTTTATTACATAATCACACAGGCATTTACAAATAAAGATATAAACACAAAAATAAAGGTCCAATCCGCAGAAAATAATTAGCGGATTAACGGGAGTTAACATAATTTTCTAATTTCTGTATTGAATGATGTCTTAATAAGGAATCTTGTTGAAGAAACCGTTTTTCCTTGAAATCTTCGCTGTTTTACAATGATGTCTCTCGCAGAATTCTTGAATCCTTTGACAAGCTTCCTCGAGCATGTCACCTGGTACAGTTATTACTAATCTCATGTAAGAGTGACAACCGAAGCACTAGGAAATCAAGATACAAAATACAAAAGATTAGTAAAATTACGTTTTTATATAACTAATAGTAATTTTTTATATTAATTATCTTTTATGCTTTGTAAGGCTAAACGATTTAAAAACTTTCGAATAAATTATTAGAGAATAAAATAAAAACATAAATAACGTGATAAAAGTAAAAAATAATTGCACTATGAATACACAAAACAATTTATTTGATATTTTTAATTTTAAATTTCTAGAATACAAAACTTGGAATAAAAATTTATTGATATTTGTGAAATTATGTGAATTTAAAAGTATTACAATAAATTTTTAAGTACCTTAATGTAATCTATTACAAAATTTGTCAAATTTTGCCGTCATGTTAATTAACGAAAAAGATTATCCTGTTATTTATCCGGCACATTTCATTGCATCGTGACGCTTTGATTTTTTGCAATATTTTCAAGCAATAGAGGTCAGCGTTGAATATCCGTAAAATTCAGTTTAAAAAACCGTGTTTTTATACGGATTTAAGTGATATAATTAGAAAATTTTAAATAGTTAATGAATTGATAATTTAAAATATCAGAAATGCCATTTTACCTGGCCGGGTAGGCAAAACACGGATTCTTCCATTAGCAGCCGTTGCACGAATTCCACATCGGAATTAAATTCCGGAAAGCACTGTAGATCGATGTAGACCTGGAAATCGATTCAATAATTTATAGCTCATAAATTGCAGTTAGTCCCACCTTACTGATGGTATTTGCATTAACGTATAAATAGCGGTCGTGCACCAACTAATTGTACGACCTATTTATCGGACGCTCGATTAACATTTACGGTTTTAGTCCGCGAGCTACGGATTGTCAAACAATGCACTGTGATTCTTGAAATTATACAAGGGTGTGGCTGGGCTAATTACAATGGTAATCATTACCATCATGTACATCGCTCCATCCGGCATTATCGGCTTCAATCCCGGAATTTTTATTATAGAGTTGTATGCCAATTTGGAATGTGACTATAACACCACAAATTGAAATATTTCACATTGAATTCATATTTTTTATATTTTTTAAAATCGTAATAACTTACGTATAAAGTATTGATAACATCGTCGAAAAACTCTTGTGGCGTGTTTCGAAGTATCTTAGGCAAGGCACCTTGAATAATAGTATTGCTGCCAATTATTCGTTGACTCAAACACTGTAAACCTTTGCGAATCTAAGAAACAAAAATTTAGGATTTGTTAAACCGATATTTGTTTGCGTACAATCAATACGATACAAGATACTACGTTTGTATCGCATTTGAACTTATATTAGATAATTACGTTAGATGTGTAGTTTGCTAAAATTTACAATAAAATTTTTTTCTTATTTTATGTGTCATATAATACGAAAAACATTTATATAGAATTAGTTACATAAAATATATCTGCTAAAATAAAAATAGAACAACATGAAGCATTTTGGTAAATTTATTTTACGTATTTAACAGATAAAAGGAGATAAATAGTGTCACAAATAATGTATTATTGGCGAAACAATAAAATCCATAAAATTCAAAAATTGTATAAAAGAAAGAAATATTACGAAAGATTGTATATCGAACTTTGTCGTGATCCGAACAAACGTAAAAATTTTCGATCTCGATGTTTTGTCATGTCGAAATTATTGTAAATTTTTAGTTCTAAAAACTTGATAATATACTGGAAAAAAGTCTGGTTGCATTAATTGAATTCTGATTGAAAATGGATTCAATTCAGAACTTTCGGGTTAAATTTATATTATAATTCTAATTGAGATAACCATCGGAATTCTAATTGATATGATCAGAATCTTCTAGTTCGTTCATTTTTAATCAGAAATTTTTCTCAGTGTAGATATTAAATTTCTCGTGAACTTCAAATACTGTGAAATATCGAAATGTGCTACACATTGACAGACTATTTGCCAGCTTGTCCAATACCTGTTCGTGGAAGAACATCATCAAACAATCGTACAATCAACTTTTTCTTTCAAAGCGTGACATGATAAAAATATACGATGAAATATATATGGAATACGTGAATAAATGTTGAAACAAATGACATTTTTCATATTTTACTTAAAAAAAAAAATATCTCAATCGTTTGATTAAGTCGTGTTTAGAAGTTATATTACAAAATTATTAAAGAGAGGATTTTGCTGAAGCATCTAAAAGTTTAGCTACATATAGAGCTGAAAATAATTTTGTTGGACTACCAAAATAATTATGTAAAATATTTAAACTAGTTGCTACAATGTCAAAACTTTTTGTAACATTGCTCATCATGCTTGAGATTTTTACATAATTATTTTGATAATTCAATGAAATTATTTTTATATTTGTATCTAGTTAAATTTTTTGATCACCAAAATCATCAGTCCTTTCATATAACAATGAATCTCCTTCAGTCAGCTGTACCGCATAGAATAAATTTTAATGTTTTATAGTATAGAAAGATTTAATTAAAATGATTTTTTGTTCTACTGGATAAAATTTTTGCGCAATATGTAAGCAATATATATAAAGCTTGTCGATTAGCTTTTCCTATCATAGAACTCTCATCTTGATTACTTATCTAAGATCGCAACTTTGCAACTTTTGCAAAGTTATTAAAGAGCATAGAAATATATCCGATAAAGATGCGCGTCGTGGCGATTTAAAGTTAGTCCAGGCGATGCCTCAGCTACAAGACGAGGAATTAAGGACACGATCGATCAAAGGGTCGATTGCCAAAGGACCAAACTTTAATAGTAGAATAAAGTTTAATCAACGAAATTTAATCCAATCCGCAGTATGCGGTGCCGAACTCTCCGAGACATACTCGGGCCTCGTTATGGAAACAATACCGCCGGCGAAGCAATTATTTTCGAGCTGTCACGTATTGTGCCACGACCGTTTACTCACCTCGGCTTCCAGCACGTTCTGACGATCATGGATTATTATCCAACCCATACGCCAACCTGGAACTAAAAATCTGCAAAGAAAAAAGATATCAAAATAGAATTATTGTTGTTAGATTCCATTTTACACATCGTGAGAGTTTAACTTTGAGAAAAACTTATAAATTGAAGAAAAAGATTCCTAAAGAAAAGTAACATTGCTCTGTATACCAAAATAATTGAGGCGTGCTATGGCAAAACACACACACACACACACACACATTTTAAGTACTATTTTTTTAATTTTTCAGGAGAAAGGAAAAACTTATTTTCTTGACTATCACTTTAAAAATTCTATTTTTAAAAAATGTGATAAACTAAAGATATATAGCAATCAGTATCTTCAAAAATTTTAATCAAATAATTCTAATTTTAAAAAAAGATCGTGTCAAAGTTAAAAGTTCAAAATGTTGTAAGCCCAAATAAAAATGCAAATCAAAACATTGTACGTTTAAATAAAAATGCCAATTACCAACACAATGACTTTCAATATTTTGAGTTGCACTACCTATTTCTCGCTTGTAGCATTTCTTACAAATATTTTCCAAACATTAGTATATATGTGTGTGTGTGTGTATGTGTGTGTATGTGTGTGTGTGTGTGTGTGTGTGATAGAACACAGCAACTAGAATAGAACTTGCAACCTAATCATGCAATAAAAAGCATTTTTATAATTTTGGCACCTGGAACATTTTGCCGTGATACAACTCAATTAATTAAAAAATAGCTATGCAATTAATAAAAATTATAAATTCTTATTTTGATAGTGTAGAAAAATTAATTATTCATTAATTATTTTCTTGAATTAGATTGTTGATTGAAAATTGTTTTTTAATTCTCACGATTGTTTGCAATGAAATATGAAATGAGTTTTTTGAATGAGCAATCTATGACCAAAAGCTTTCTTTATTGCGACATGCAATTTTATTATCACATGTGATGCGAATATCGTGCGATTACAAAAAGTTTGGTGTATGTACATCACAAGTTTAATAAGCAATGAAAAATACATTCTTTATTTTCTAAAATAATTCTTTTATTTTTTATAACAAAAAAAACTCAACGGAAGTAGGTTAATGTATTATTCTTAACTGCATTAATATTATAAATATAAATATGTACCAACAATAATATTGCCCTGGTAGAAATGTATGCAGTTTTCCTTGATACCTATCCAGTTACTATCTAATATTACTGTACTCTCATTAGTTATGCCAATACTGAGTGAGTAGGAAATGGACGAGAACTTGATAGAGTTTTATTCTGTCCATTTCATGAGCAATTGGCTTGTTTATTAATTAATTTAATATTTATTATTTGTTGTGTTTCTATTCAGTAAATGGATTCAGATTTTATGCAATTTTTGTATGCAGTAACTGCAAACAAAGCGTTACATCCTGATTGGGATCCTAAGTAATTTTCCTTCTCAGTTACTATTTAGTAATTGCTTAAAAAATGCATGAAATTTCTACCAGGGTGCATTAAGATAATATTTGCATATTTATTTTGCCTGCTTAGTACTTGCTTCTTCTTCTTGATTTCTCTTCTCAATTTGAGTATTCCTGTTAAATAAAAAAATTACTAAATGTAGTCGCACAATTCGCTTTAATCAATTTATGCGAAGCAAATTATGACATTTTATGATAAATATCACATATAAAAGCTTTTTTCGGGAAAGAATTAATTTTAAAATTAGTTTTCACATTCTTATTTTAAGATATCAGCAACTTGTTACGTAATAATCATTAAATAATTATGTTATTAAATAATCATGTTGTAACCTATCATTCACTTATTCATTAATTTACCTTTATTGTTTACTTTATATTTTTTTTTATCTCATGTTTGCGTGTGTCGTGTGCATCATTGAATTTTACATGAGAAACGCGATTTACAGCGCTTGATACCAAAAGTACCGCGCTGCGAAATCTGCGGCGTGTAAAATACACCGTACTGCAATGAAAGACCAACAAGCTGCAGGAACTCATTTACAACTAGTATGACGAACGCTCGTAAATTAAGTTGCGTTTCAAATCTGATACCGTTAAAATAATGGAGGCATAATCGCGAAACTTCGGAATATCCGACCCTTCGGCTTTGATCGCGACGTTTTATTCACGCTCAATCAATCTCTCGTTCTATTTTCGAAAAAATTGAGCGAAAAATTTCACAGCGGAGCGCTTACGTTCCAAGAATTCCTTCCGTCAACTTCACGAATCGCTAGTTTCGCTCCATACTTTTCGCGATGAAAGATAATAGAAGGTAACGTACTGAAAATAACTGAAAACCCGATGTATATAGAGAAAGTTGTCGGTGCTGCATTTTCCAAATTATTTTGAAACTATTATTATTATTATCGCGTTTATAATGTTAGAAATAATTACAAAAATTATTTTCTTATCATCTTCCTGAACATAATTCTTACTATTATACAAGCATTATCTGAATATTTTGATTTCAATGCTTATAAGCATTTTTTTAATGTTAAAAAGCAGGAATTTATTTCACGCTGTCTTTTCATCCTTTGGATCTTAAGAAAAAAATCTTTTAATAACGTGATATTTTGTTTCATAAAGGATGAATTAGTTACGAACCGTCTTACTTAATATGTGAAAGTCATACGTTACGCGAGTAAATTGTGGAATGTTACGGAAGATTTTGCGTTTGTATTCTAGCATCGAAATGTCAGGAGTTTTATAATCATTTTACACGTCCCGACATACCTTTTAGTCAGTCCGCTGCACGACAAAATAGGAACTTCGGTCGATAGAGACGCTAACGAGTGGAAAGTCCGTCCTGGAAATACCTGAAAACAGCGGTGAGGCGAAAAATGTATTTGCGCATAATATAGGCACATATGTTTTGCCTGCATGCAAAGGCATGTGATACAACATAATGCAAAAACCGCGACAGTCGTTATTCCGCCTTATCGAATTTTTCAAAATAGCTATTGTCATTATATGTATATACAGGGAGTGTAAAAGTATCCGGTGAGATTTCTTTAAGAAAAACCTTGTTTTTTAAAAATAAACATTAATTGGTAAATTATTAAGAAAAAATAAAATGAATTGTTCTTCCCAAAATTATTTTACTTAAAAAGAAGTGTAATAATTAATATTATCTTAATAATGAACGAAAATAAGTAATTGTATTATTTAAACGCATAAAAAGTGTTTGTACAGTCGAGAAATTTAGTTTCTGAAATCTTAAATAATTATTTTTGCAAAGCTCTTTTGTTTATATTAAGACAATATGTATTCATTGTTAAAGAATTGGTAATTAATGTTTATTTTCTACAAAGATACTTTAATACTGCCAAAAATTTATAAAAATTTATGTGTTTAATTTTTAAATCCTTTTTCATGAAATATTTATATATGCACCAATTCTTTTCTTACTATAAAATATTTTATCACTATCAACATACACACACACATTAACTAAACATCTTGTACGTGCTAAAACAAAAAGTCTTTTTAATTCGTTAATAAAGTGCACCGCGCGAATTCAGGACATCATGCATATCTGTTCTGTGAATTAATTCCGTACTTCCCTTAAATAGAACGGGCGCGATACGTGCTTTACTTGTTCCGCAGATGAAACGATTTGTCACTTGATACTTGGATGGTAAGCGTAATATTCGGGCACGTACCATATGCTCGTAAATCTCATCGGCTATAATGGGTACGTAGTAATGAGCGGCGATGTCGAGAATGTCAAGTATATGGTCGCGTCTGAATACCGAGCCACACGGATTCGAAGGATTGTTTATAATAATTGCCGCTGTCGACTCGTCGATTTGCTCCTTTAGGTCGTCCAGATCGATCTCCCAACCGAGCTCCGGCTAGAAACGATTAATATTAATAGAATGCGTTAACGAGAAACCCTCTCGAGTCTTCATTTTTCTCCTCGTCCTTTCCCTCAATCTGTATCGCGTAATATTGTATTTTGAGATGGCTTAAAAACTATGCGCTTGTTCTCGATTATAAGTTCTTGAATAATTCTCTCTAAGCTTTTGACAGACAAAATTTTAATGTGGCAAAAATATTTCTATTTTTTTTTTTTTAAGAGTCATAAAATCTGTGTAAAAATTTTCCTTTTTAACAGAATTTTTAAAAAATTGACTATGAAAAATATTTAAAACCGAATACTAAAACATGAAAAAAAAATTGTTTATGAAAAGATCAGTAAACCTGTGCAAAACATTTATGATAAAAAATCATGATGAGCATTATATAACAGTAAAATAATACAATTTAACACATATATTACTGTTTTAACAAATAGGGTAAGGTTGCCGAAATCGCACTACTTTTCACATAAAAGCTTATAACTCGGAAAGTAAGAAGGATATTCTCAATTTTTTTGCGGTGTAATAAACTGCAAGCTTTTCCCTTTCATATGTAATTTTTTCAGATTTTTTTTCTATTATTATAATATTTTAAATGAAGATTTTTTACATA